TCAATATTATTATTATTATGGATGCTACGGCCTAAACATGGAAGACTGAGGAACTTCTGGATCCGAGGGCCCAAAGATGGACGTGCACCTGAGGAATTTCAGGATCCGGGGGGTCTAAACATGGATGCCTGAGGCATTCCAGATCCTGGAGCCTAAACATGGATGCCTGAGGCACTTCCAGATCCTAGAGTCTAACCATGGATGCTGAGGAACTTTCGGACCCCGGGGCTTAAACATGGACGTGCACCTGAGGAACCTCCGGATCCGTGGGCCTAAATATGGACGCCTGAGGAACTTCTGGGTCCAGGCGCCTAAACATGGACACCTGAGGAACTTCCAGATCCTAGAGCCTAAACATGGACGTGCACCTGAGGCACTTCTGGATGCTATGGCCTAAACATGGATGTGCGCTCGAGGAACTTCCGGATCCAGGCACCTAAATATGGACATGCACCTTTGAAACTTCTGGATCCGTATCCGGGGGCCTAAACATGGACTTGCACCTGAGGAATTTCCAGATGCTAAGGCCTAAACATGGAGGACTGAGGAACTTTCCGATCCAAGGGCCCAAAGATGGATGTGCACCTGAGGAACTTCCGGATCCTGGGGCCTAAACATTGATGCCTGAGGCATTCCAGATCCTGGGGCCTAAACATGGATGCCCGAGGCACTTCCTAGAGCCTAAACATGGATGCTGAGGAACTTCCGGACCTGGGGGCTTAAACATGGACATGCACTTGAGGAACCTCTGGATCAGTGGGCCTAAACATGGACACCTGAGGAACTTCTGGATCCTAGAGCCTAAATATGGATGTGCACCTGAGGCACTTCTGGATGCTATGGCCTAAACATGGATGTGCGCCTTTGAAACTTCTGGATTCGGATCTGGGGGCCTAAATATGGATGCTTGAGGCACTTCCGGATCTGAAGGCCTAAACATGGGCGTGTCCCTGGAACTTCTGGGTCCTTGTGCCTATAAAGGGCAGGGCATGACTCTCAGAAGGGACTTGCCCATGAAGGGGAGCTGAATATGGGGCCTGTTGCGGGGCAGACTAAGCTCTTGCACCCTGAACTTGAATGTGATTGTGGCCTCACTTCCCTGCCTTCCCCTGGGTGTCACTTCCTCCCCTTCCAGACGGTGCCGGGGAGGAAGTGAGACCAGGTGCAGGGGCCAGGCCACCATCTTTCTCCTCGCTTAGCCAGGTGCCCAGCCTGGCTGGGGATGGGGACGTCTTATGACACTAGCTGCCTCCTATATCTCTGCCCCAGGACCTCAGGGACCACAGGCAGAGTCGTTGACATGATTCTCCCCTGGCCGTTGACCCTCAGCCCCGTGGTCTGCCCAGAGGGTCAGGGGGCCCCTGTGACCTGCTGCTCCTTACCCACTGTCATCCTGGGCGAGCAAAGGTCAGGACACTAGACGCTACTGAGAGTGACAGTTTCTGGATGGGCAGCTGGGGACTTTGCCTCTATCCTCAGGCCTCAGACACTGGATGATCCCTCTCAGAGACAGAAAATAACCCCACACTGCCCAAGACTTATTTTTAAGCTTTGGATTCTGAAATTTTCCTGCTGCCACCTTCTTTGTGAAGCCAGTTTTTTAACAGAGACAATATTCCAGGGGGGAAAAAAAACAACATGGAGTCAATCAAACCAAGCTGACACATCTGGTCCTCCAAGAGAAATCTGGATTGGAGGGAGAACAGCCATTCTCAACAGGCGAAATAGTGAAGTTCCCTTGTCCTTATTTTGTGTAAGCAAAATAAATAATCTGATGTTAACTCATCAAATTATTTTTGATGAGTGCTTGGCTCATAGTAAAACTGATTCTGTTTTATGGAATGAAGTGTTACCTGATTTTAAAATTAAAAATGAAGCCAATTAGGATTGTTAAATTACACTGTCATAATTCTGTTCTTTGATAGCAGAAATAAATAAACCTTTTTTTAAAAAAATATTATTATTATTTGGTACCAGGGATTGAACCCAGGGGCACTTAGCCATTGAGCTACATCCCCAGATCTTTTTATTTTGTGACAGGTTGTCACTAAGTTACCTAGGGACTTGCTAAGTTGCTGAGGCTGGTTTTGAACTTGCAATCCTCCTGCCTCAGCCTTCCAAGTCTCTGGGATTATAGGCAGGTGCCATTGCACCTGACTTTTTCAACATTTTCAAATCTATATTATAAAGCAGTAAAAAAAAAAAAAAAGGAAAAAGAAGCTACTGGAAGATTTTGTTTGGCTATTACATATATTTATACTAAAACTTTGAAACTAATCCAATATGTTATTAATTGGGATAAAAAACAATGTGTAAAAAATAAAATAAAACAATGTGTAAACATACAAAATTAGTTTAAAGAGAGTTAATTTCAGAAATACAAGACATGCTAATAAGATAATCAATGTATAGTCTCTAACATGTTAAAATGAAATGAGTCAATCGCACTAAGTAAATAATTTTGTAACTTTATAAAATTTACATAAAGATATTCTATTGAGTAATATTTCAATTATTATTTACAACAATATATTATGTTATGGCAATTTTAATGATAAAAGTGGCCAATGACTATATGAAAAGATGCCTATAAAACTTATTCATTAGGGAAAATCATAGTATAATCACTACATCTAATTGTCAAAAGACAATAATAAGTATGGATATGCAGAGAAATCAGAACCACTTTAAACTGCTGGTGTTATTACAAAATGAGGCAGCTCCTTTGAAAAACAGTTTGTCAGTTCCATAGAAGGTTTACCACATGGCCCAGCAATACCACTACTAACTACGTAACCAAAAGAAATGAGAACATTTCCACACAAAAACCTGTATATGAAGGTTAAAAGAAACATTATGCATAATAGCAAAACTCCCAAAGTGGAAAAATCCGGGCATGGTAGTGCATGCCTGTAATCCCAGCTGCTTGGGGGGCTGAAGCAGGAGGATTGCAAGTTCAAAGTCAGCCTCAAAATTTAGTGAGGTCCTAAACAACTCAGTGAGATCCTGTCTCTAAATAAAATACAAAAAAAGATGGGGATGTGGCTCAGTGGTTAAGTGCCCCTAGGTTCAATCCAAGTATAAAAAAAAAAAAGAAAGTAGGAAAAATCCAGATGTACATCAATGTATGACTAGATAGACAAACTGTGAGAGAGTCACACAATGCAATATGCAGTCATGGAAAGGACTGAATGATATGTGCTACAACATTGATAAGCTCATGAAATGCCATGCTCACTGAGCAAAGATGGACTATAAAAAGCCACATCAGTATGATGCTGTTGTGTGAATTCCCCACAATAGACAAGTCTTTATTGACTTGTGATAAGTGATTCTTTGATGGCTGTGAGATTTTTTTGAGGGATTGATGAAAGTGATCTGGAATTTGATAGTGGTGTTGGCTATGTGTCATTGTGAATAAAACAAAAAAAGTTTGCATTTTGTACTTTAAAATGGTTATATGTTGAATTTTGTGAAATGTAAATTTTATCCCAATAAAAAGAATTTTTAAGGCAAACAAAAAGCAAACCCAACACACTGTTTCTCATCATGGAAACCAGCTGAGTGGTTGTGAATGCAAGAGGGAAACAGTAAATTAGGATAAAGGACATTGAAATTCTTGAAACAATGGTCAATAAACTTCTATTGGTGATTTGTATTTGTCTGTAAGAGCCAAGGAGACTCACACATGGCTTGGATCATGCAGACCGTCTATACTTCTCATGGAAATTCACCTGAAAAAGGAGATGAATCAGTTGGGCAGACTGTAGTGATGTGACCTAATGGTTTAAACATTGTGTTAGTTTTTCATCCCCGTAACCCAAGCACCTGACAATAACAAGTTAAAGGAGGAAAGACTTATTTAGCCTCCATTTCAGAGGTCTCAGTCCACGGTTGGCTGGTTCCATTGCTCTGGGCCTCAGGTGAGGCACGACACCATTGTAGAAGGGCGAGATGGAGAACTGTCAAGCTCATGGCAGCCAGGAGGAGAGCGAGAGTGTGGAATGGGCCAGGGACAAGAAATACCCTTCTAGGGCATGTAGAATATTCTTAAAATTCTCTGGAAAAAAATAAATAAATAAAAGAGAGGACATCATACCTCCTCTCATAGACCCTGAAAGAATAATAAAAGAATATTAGGAAGGACTCCATGACCACAAATCAAGTGAACCAATTACTTCAAAGATATAGTCTACTAAAACTGACAAAAGAGTAGGTTATCTGAGCAGATCTATGTCTATTAATGAAATGGAATCAATACTCAATAACCTTCCCAAAACTTATATATTCCAAAAAAAAAAAATTCACATTTAGCCATTGTAACCTTATTTTAACTGGTGGGGGTGAAGGGACTGCCGTTTTGTCAAGAATATTTGGAAATGGTAAATACTCAATTTTAATCCATTACTCACTAGATCAGGGAATGGAATCCATGAAGATTAAGGGATATCTTAGCACAATGAGTTTCATAATATGGATAATTTAGGCAAGATGTTTTTGCATGGTTAAAAGTATATTTGTTTTTTTATACAGAAACTCCAAAATTATAGAGGGTTTTTTTTTTTGCACTGCTAAGGATTAAACTCAGGGCCTTATGCATGAGACAAGTACTCTACCACTAAGTTATATCCCCAGTCCCAGGTTTGAGTTCTTATTTGAGTTCCCTATAGATAAAGGGCAAGAACTTCAGCTTCCAGGAAGTGCCACTCAGCCTTCCTTGGGTGAGAGTCCACAAACAATAAGGTCATTTTTGTCGAAGGCCTTCAAGCCTTGTGATCCTAAGATTTGTACTTGGGCATGCTGGTGATCAACAGTGCTAAGGAAAGCCCATATACTGGCTAGGGGTTTTGCACTGGGAAAAGAGTCACATATCTTCTATTTAAAAACTAGTTCCTGGGCTGGGGATGTGGCTCAAGTGGTAGCGCGCTGGCCTGGCATGCGAAAGGCACTGGGTTCAATCCTCAGCACCACATAAAGATAAATAAAGATATTGTGCCCACTTAAAATTAGGAGGGGTTAACCCCCTTTCCTTTATTTCCAATACCCTTGGGGATCCGGGAGTGCACATTACAGCAAGGGAATCAGCAGCACCAGAAAGTCATTCCTGCTACTCTTGCCTGTACAATGACTCTTTCTAGGCAACTGGGTAAAATATTTAATTCTGTGGTCTGGGCACCGTGGTGCATGCTTGTAATCCCATCAGCAGGAAGATTGCAGGTTCAAAGCCACTCTCAACAACTTAGCAAGGCCCTCAGCAATTTAGTGAGATCCTATCTCTAAATTAAAAAAAAAAAAATTAAAGGGCTGGGGATGTGACTCAGTGGTTAAGTGCCCCTGGGTTCAATCCCCAGTACAAACAAAAGGTCTCTTTTTTGCGACTTCACAATCATCCATGAGCATACTGCAAGGATATACAATAATAAACAATTTTACATGGCCATGCCAAGCATCCAGAAGTGACAACCAGAGTAGATGCAATGACCACTGAGCAGTCACCAGATTCTTGGCAATCAGGACTGAAGTACCAATCAAGTTAAGGTGATGCTTTTGCTGCCTTGATAGGTGAGTGCCTCAAAAACTCCTTACCAACTACGATGAACCTATCAAGTCACATTGCAGCAGTCAGTCAATTAGCCATTTGTGTCCAGATGAGTGTTTCAACATGGGACAAAGTGGCCACACTTGACACAGAACACAAAGCCCTGTGTAGACCAAAGTGAAAGCCAACAAGCCGTTGGTGGTTGTCACTCAGGTGACATTGACTGTATTATGGAGTCAGGTAGCCCAGAGTTGTTAGCTAAAATTGAGTAATGTCCTTGGTCACAGTTGGTCCATCCTGTATTTCTTGCCATTTGTTTACGTAGCCTCACACTCACTCCATTGGTGAGGGAGAAATTAGCAGCTTAGGGCTGCTGAGATTTGAACTCATGACATCCATCATTACCTGCAACCCAGTCAGGGAGCCAGCCTGAACCTGGGTGGCCAGATTTGGCTGTCTACCCACATGAGAAATGAACAATGGAAAAGAAAAAAAGAAAAAAAGAAATTTTGTACATTTTGATCAAACTGGGGAGAAGAGCTAGATTAATAGAAATGATTACAATTTATAGAAACAAAACTCAGGTGATAAACATGTAGACTAGGCTGTGCTTCATCAGATAACATGTCTGTCTTAATTCCCTTGGCACATCCTTCAGATGAGCAAGTGCCGGAGCTCTGTTTCACCACTGCTGCACAGATAAGGTTGTCAGGAGCTTATCAGTTAGTGACCCTCACAGTGAGGATGTGGAAGGTACTGGAAGGCATGTAGTCCTGCCCAGGGACTACACTTCAGAGCACAGAGCAGGTGGGATGGGAGAAGGCTTTGGGTATCAAGTTGAGATACTTCTTGGTTCTCAGGAGAGAATGTGAAAGGTTTGTTGGAAAAATTTTGTCATCCAACAGCGAACAGAAATGCATGATTATAGACTGATGACTAATCCTATAATGCTACAGTATACTATATTCTATACTAATTGCATTTTAATTACATGCTATACAATCTAGTCATATATATGCTATTTATATACAAAACTATACTACATACTACATATTATATACATGCTTATACACACATGTACATACTTCAGGTACTAGATAATGCTATATGCTGTTAATGTACACAAAACTCTTTCAATATAGATGCAAAAAGCCTCAATAAGATACTAGAAAAGCAAATCTACCAATATATAAAGACTTATACTCCCTAAGAGAAATTTAACTTACAAAAGCAGTGCTGTTTTCATATATGAACGTCAATGAATATAATTCAACTTATTAGAATAAATGTCAAAAACCACAAGTTCATCTCAAGAGATACAGAAAAAACATACAAAAAAATATCAACACCCTTTCATAATAAAACACACCATCGTCACATCTGCAATTCCAGCCCCCCCCCCCACCTCCACCAGGAGGCTAAAGCAGGAAGATTGCCAGTTCATGGCCAGTCTCTGCAACTTGGTGAGCCTCTATCTGAATAGGCCTGGGGATGTAGCTCAATGATAAAGCGACCCTGGGTTCAATCCCAATTTTTAAAAAAATGAACTGAAGGGAACTTTCTAAATGTGCTTTACAGCATTGATTAAAAAACCCACTCTTAGAGCATGATGGCACCACCTATAATCCCCGCTTCTCAGGAGGCTGAGGCAGGAAGATCACAAGTTCAAGGTCAGACTCAGCAAATTAGCAAGATCTTGTCCCCAAAATTAGTGTAGCTCAGTGGTAGAATATCTTAGTACTGTTATAAAAACAACAAACAAAAACCCTACAGCTAACGTTATTCTTGATGGTGAGATTGAAAGCTTTCTCCCTCAGATTAGACAAACATGTAATTCTTCCACAGGTCTTTCTCCTTAATCCAAGGTGAATTATACAAGTAACAGCCAGAAATAATGATAAAAAATAAAAGGCAACAAGGCTGGGGTGTAGTTCAGTGGTAGAGCACTTGCCTAGCACATGTGAGGGACTGGGTTAAATCCTCAGCACCACATTTTAAAAAGTAAATTAAATAAAGGTATTGTGTCCATCTACAACTAAAAGTATTTTAAAAAGTAAAAGGCAACAGTTAAAATAATTCACCTAAGAGTATGTGATAAACTTGACATACTTAAAAATAGTTATCAACTCTCTTTTATCTGTTTTCCCCCAAGATACTGGGGATTGAACCTGGGGGTGCTTTTCCACTAAGCTACACACCCAACCCTTATTTTTTAAAACTGGATCTCACCAAATTGCCAAAGCTGGCCTCAAACTTGCAATCCTCCTGCTTCAGCCTTCAAGTAGCTTGGATTATAGGCATGTGCCACCACACCTGGCTACGGCATCTACGGTTTTCTTTTTATTGCAGTACTAGGGATTGAACTCAGGTCCTTGGGCATGCTGGGTAAGCACTCTACCACTGAGGTATATCCTCAGACTATGATACCTAATCTTTTTTATTTTTTTAAATTGTAGTTGGACACAATTTCTTTATTTTATTTATTTATTTTTAGGTGGTGGTGAGGATAAACCCAGTGTTGCGCACGTGCGAGGTGAGCGCTCTATTGTGGAGCCATAAACCCAGCCCAATACCTAATCTTTATTAGCAAAAAACAAATGAAATAAATTCCATGCCCCTTCAAAAAGGTAGCTTTTCCCATAGAAAAAGTAAAAGACATATAATGTGTGACAATACAGAAGCTGCCACACAACAGTAGGAAAATCCCCCCAAATAACAGAGACTTATTTTTCAGTGGCCCATCCATCAATCACAGACCACTTAAGACAATTATATAAATATTGAGCCTACTTATATATTAGAAATACATTTCAACTAAAACATGGATCCAACACACTTTAAAGTTGATAGAGAAAAGTTTTGTTAACTGACTTAAGATACTACGCATTAAACTCAAGCATAATTACTTAGAAGAGTACAGTCTTATATCACACATTTCAGTCAACAACGGATCTCATATACAATGGTGAGCCTATAACATTATAATGGGTCTTAAAAATGCCCATCACAGGAGCTGGGGCTGTGGCTCAGCAGTACAGCACTCGCCTAGCACATGTAGAAGCCCTGGGTTTGATCCTTAGTACCACATAGAAATAAATAAAATAAAGGCATTGTGTCCAACTACAACTAAAAACATATTTTTTAAAAAATGCCTATCACAGCTAGGCGCAGTAGCACATGCCTGTAATCCCAGCAACCCGGGAGGCTGAGGCAGGAGGATTGCATGTACAAGGCCAGCCTGGGCTATTTAGCAGGATCCTCAGCAACTTAGCAACACCCTGCCTCAAAATAAAAAATAAAAAGGATTGGGGATGTAGCTCACTAGCAAAGTACGCTTAATTTCAATACCCAGTACCCACCCCCACAAAATGCCTATCATATAATCAATGCATAGATGAACAGACAAGAAACAAAACAACTGAAGGAAAATAAGAAAACACCCAAGAAAATTCATGGTAAGCAGTTTAGTAGAAACTTCTGTAGACTTTAAGATCCTTTAAGCCTAAAAACATGGACCCCATAACAAAAAGTTTTCATCAACAGAGAGGAATATTCATGGTATATTATCTGCTTACAAGCAAGTCTATGATAAAAAGGAAACCAAGAAAAGCATCATGTACACATTTATGAAAAGAGTCACATTTCCCAAGAGGAGCCTCAGACATGCACGTCCTTCAGAAGATTTCAGTGGGGATGATGGCACATGCCTGTAACCCCTGCAACCTGAGAGGCTGAGGCAGGAGGATCACAAGTTAGAGGTCAGCCTGGGCAACTTAGAGAATTCTATCTCAAAGTAAAAAATAAAAAGGGCTGGGGGGCGTGGGCTGGTGCTGTAGCTCAGTGGCAGAGTGCTTGCCTAGCATGTGTGAGGCACTGGGTTCGATCCTTAGCACCACATAAAAATAAACAAATAAAATAAAGGCATTGTGTCCATCTACCACTACAAAAAATTAAAAAAAAAAAAAAAGAGGGGAGTGGGGAGCTGGGGATATAGCTCAGTGATAGAGCACCCCTGGGTTCAATCCCCAGTACCAACAACAGCAAAAAGAGTTCCAGCAGAAAGCACTGTCATGATAGGAAATGACAGTTCCAAATGTTGCTGCTCTTAAAGAATGTCCACTGGGCCAGATGAGGAGGTGGAGACACTGACACTGGTGATTCTGGAGCTGTGTGAGCCTAGACTAATGCGTTTGTTTCTTAGTCTTTAACAAAATACATTAAAAAGTAAACAATAAACATTAAAATGGATAAATGCTTATATAATAGATATAAACAAAAGTTTTATACAGACATCTTGTGTTTTAAGCTATGTGTTTATTACAGAACAGTGAAAAAGATGAAAAAATTGTTTATTAAGTGACAAAGTTACACTAACCTAAGGTTAATTTATTCTTGCTGATAAAATTATTTTTATAAATTTAGTATAACATAAGTGCAGGTGTTTATAAAGTCAACAGCAGTGTCCAGCAACATCCTAGGCCTTCACATTCAGTCACTGATCGCTCACTCAAACTCGCCCAGCAGACTCCCACCAGTACTCCAGCAAGTTCTGTACGCAGGAAGTATCTTGCACAGGTATATCTTTTATTTTATTTTTGCAGTACTGGAGATCAAAGCCAGGGACCCTCGACCCATTGAGCTACTCCCCTAGACCTTTTCATTTTTCACTTTGATACAGGATCTCAAGAAACTACCCAGGTTGACCTTGAACTGTGATCCTCCTGCCTCAGCTTCACAAGCAGCTGGGATTACAATCACGGGCCACCCTACCCTGATCTTTTATACTATATCCTTACTGTAGCTTTTCTATTTTTCAGTGTGTTTAGATACACAAATACTTATCATTGTGTTACTGTTGCCTACAGTACTAAATACAATAATGTACAAGTTTGGAGCCCAAAAGAAACAGGCAACAGCATTTAGCCTAAGTCTGTTGGTAGTTCACTATACCATCTAAGATTTGTCTAAGTACACTTTATTATCTTCACACAGCAATTAGATTGCCTAACGAGGCATTTCTCTGAATTTATCCCTTTGTTAACTGACACAACTACACCTATAGAATCCTCACCTTTATGTATCCTTACAAAGAAATGGAAATATGCAAACCAGAGAACTTTTAACTATGAGCCACTGATAAACATATTATATTCATAATTTATGTAAATTTTGTTCATGTAGAGAAACTGAACATTATGTAATAATTAATTTGCATTAAGATTTCAATATCACCTACATTTATGAGATTTCTTTCAAATGGGAGTTTTCCTATTGACTTTTAAAGCAATCATAAAAATCAAAAGCTTTCCTTTATTTTCCAAACTACTGGAGTCTGATATGTATAACATCTATCTTCAGTGTGCATTATGGGCCTTTGAAGGTACAGCCACCAGCCCTTTATAGAGATTTTCTGCTGAATGCATTTTTTTTTTTTGTTGTTATCTTCAAATGGAACTAGAACAAATGATGGCTTTAACAAATTTCATACATTCATAAGGCTATTCTCCAGTGTGAGTCTTGCCATGTATTCAAAAAGATCTGGAAAAACTGATGCCTTCACCACAAGTTTTTATCATCCCAGTATTCCCCTCCATGAATTCTTTCACACATCTGAAGACGAACGGAAAATCTGAAGGGTTTTCTATGCTGTTGACATTCACAGGGTTTTTCTGTCAGTGTGAATTCTTTTGTGTTTTTGGAGGGCACTGGAACAACTGAGCCTCTTACCACATTGTTTACACACAGAGGGTTTTTCTCCTGTGTGAGCCCTCTCATGATATCGCAGGGAACTGGGACAGCTGAGCACCTTGCCGCACTGTTTACATTCATAGGGATTGACTTCAGTGTGAATCCTTTCGTGTTTTCGAAGATAGCCGCGGCATCTGAAGGCTTTACCACATTGTTGACAGTCGTAAGGTTTATATCCAGCGTGGGTTCTTTCATGCATTTTAAGAGCCACATGAAATCTGAAGGCTTCGCCGCACTGCTTACACTGATAGGGTCGTGCTTTATTATGAATTCTTTCATGAACTTGAAGGGAATTTGAACAACTGAGAGTTTTGCCACACTGTATACACTCATAGGATTTGTCTCCAGCATGCGCTCTTTCGTGCCTTATAAGGGAAGTCTGAAATCGGAAGACTTTTCCACACTGTTTACACTCATAGGGCTTTTCTCCTGTGTGAGTTCTTTCATGTATTCGAAGGGAATTGGGAGAACTTAGTGCTTTGCCACATTTTTTACATTCAAAGGGATTTTCTTCAATATGAAATCGCACGTGTTTTCGAAGGTCACTGTGCCATCTGAAAGCTTCCCCGCATTGTTTACACTCATAGGGTTTTTCTCCAGTGTGAGTTCTCTCATGGATTCGAAGGGAATTGGAAGAACTGAGAGCTTTACCACACTGTTTGCATTCATAGGTTTTTGCTTCAGTATGAATTCTTTCATGTTCTCGAAAGTAACCATGACGTGTGAAGGCCTTACCACACTGTTTACACTCATAGGGTTTTTCTCCATTATGACTTCTTTCATGCCTTCGAAGGGAACAGGAAGAACTGAGGGTTTTGCCACACTGTTTGCATTCATAAGATTTTTTTACAGTGTGAATTCTGCCAGGTAGTTGAAATGAACTAGAACAAAGAAAGGTCTTCCCACACTGCTTGCTGTCAGAGGGTTTGGCTCCAGTGTGAGTTTGTTGATGTATTTGAAATGAACTGGGGGAATCAAAGACTTTTAAACATAACTCACAAGTATAAGGGCCTTTTATCCTGTGGGTCACCATATGTCTTCCAACACTTCTGAGAGAAATGAAGGTTTTCCCACACTGTTCACATTTATGTGGCTTCTCTCCATATTCCTTACACTCAAGTGCCTTGTATCTGGAGTGAGATTTCAGATGCCTCTTGAGAGATGAAAGACATAGGAAAACTTTTCCACACACACTGCATTTACATGGTTTTACTCCAGCAGGAATTTTCTTGCTCTGATTAAGATTTAGAGCCTGGATGAAGGTTTCACCACACTGACCACCTTCTTCACTTTCACAGGGTCTCTCTACTACATAACTTCTATAAAAAAATGACAAATGCATTAGCAAGGGTTCAATTATTAAAATGTATTTATTAGTAAGTGTTGGAGTTCCATTGCTCCTCACATCAAGGACAGGGTACATTTTTTTCCCTCCGGTGGCAAAAAGACTTAAAAGTACATGGACCAAATACTCTGCAACATGAATCCCACTTGGCTATTATCAAAACAGCAACATTCAGTTTCTTAGTACTTAGTTTACAAATGAACTATTTTGTAAGCACTGAACATCTTTGTTACATTTAAGTACACAGTAGCTTCACTGAAAATTTTCTAATGATAAATAAACTTAAAAATGTATTTGTTTTTGCCAGGCAGGTGTAATCCCAGCAGCTTGGGAGGCTGAAACAGGAAAATTGCAAGTTCAAAGCCAGCCTCAGCAACTGCGAGGCACTAAGCAACTCAGTGAGACCCTGTCTATAAATAAAATACAAAATAGGGTTGGGGATGTGGCTTACTGGTTGAATGCCCCTGAGTTCAATCCCCAGTACCAGAAAAAAAAAATTGTATTTGTTTTAATTGTTTTTAAAATTCTATGACATGCTAGGATTTCTTAAAAGGACTTTTTTTCCCTCTTATACCTGCAAATTACCTTAAATTTCTCCCTGGAATTTTAAACTGGTCTTCAATGTTCTGGTTTTTCCACTTGTTTCCTAAAATGTGGACAAAGAAAAATTATCGTGAATTATTAAAAGTTGTAGAAGAATTGTTAACTGTCAGGTGCAGTGGTACACATCTGTAATTACAGCTACTACTTAGGCTCAGGAAGGAGCATGGCAAGTTCAAGGCCATTCTAGGCAATGTAGTGAAATGCTGGCTCAAAGTTTAAAAAAATAAAAAAGGACTAGGGATGTAGCTCAATAGTAGAGTATCCCTGGGTTTAATTACTAGTACCACCACCACCACCAAAAAAAAAAAAAAAAAGAAGAAGAAGAAGAAAATGAAGAAATTTTAGAAAAATTATTCATTTCTAGTTTCAATGTACACTGTAACAATGCCTGATTCTTCACTAAATTCTTCCCTTTTCTGACTCATTCACCAAATTCTTCCATTTTTACATTCCAATCACAGAACCACATGCACGACCAAGAAACATTTGTGCTATAACTGACTAGGTAAAGGAATGATGTTGGTCTTACCTATAGAAGCCAGGTTTCTGAAAGTTTCCCGCATCACATCTCTGTAGAGATTCTTCTGGGAAGGATCCAACAAAGCCCACTCTGCCTGGGTGAAGTCCACAGCCACATCCTGAAAAGCCACTGAGTCCTAAAACATTCCACATACATGTACAGGAGAATGAGTCCGACTGACCAGAACCTACACTCAATTCATAAGAGGGTCACATGATTCTATGGTTTCCAAACATTTCCATCATGACTTGGTCATGAGAATTCTTGCCTTGGATGATACTCCCTCCCACACAGCAGTTCTAGTACTAGAATTGAGCTATTCAGAAAGGAAATAGCAAGTAGGAGCCCTTCTCATTAGAGGACTCAGAAAGTACGATGTGCTGTTGGGTCACTTTCATTTCTCTTTGTAGAGATGGACTTTAGTATCTATCATAACAAAGCCCTACCACCTGATATGAAGAGTTAACATTAGCATGGCATGGTGGCACATACCTGTAATCCCAGTGACTTGAGAGACTGAGGCAGGAGGCTCACAAGATCAAAACCAGCCTCAGCAACTTAGCAAGACCCTAAGTAACCTATCAAGACCTTGTCTCAAAATGAAAAATAAAAAGGGGTGGAGATGTGGCTCCTTGGTTAAGCACCCCTGGATTCAATCCCTGATGAAAAAAAAAAAAAAAGGTAGTCTTAAGTCTACTCACATAGTTCAAACTTTGCTAGTACCAGTGAACTTGAAACTTGGGAGTGATTTGCTAACATAAATAATAAGAATGTTTCATTGTGCCTAAATGATCTATGTAAATACCATAGCAGTTTATGAACTCTTGTTTCTCTTCTGAATGTCTATTAATTTGTTCCATGCTCACAGTGGTGCCTAGAGAATTAGATCCCAAAAACACTATGCACACTGAGTGTCTAACGAGCTAATTACCTGGTAGACACTATTTCATGCATGTTGTCACAACTTGTCCATTGGGGAACTGAGTTCATCCTATGTGATTACAGCAAGAGATATCCTTTGGGGACGTATAAACACTTTACTCCAGGCCAAATTTAATAAAGTACTAAGTATAATAAGTGATCAATATTTAATGAACCTAACAGAACAACTTTTGAATTTCTATTGAGCCATGTCAAAGCAGAATCAAATCGGTGGGTGGATGATACATGTTCTTGGAAAGAACTCAATATCATCATTGATATCACCTCTTCCAAACCATATCTCACAAAAATCCCATAACTCTCCAAAGCAGACTCTTCAGTAGTTTGTTTTTATAAACTAAAAGGAATAACAAATGTCTAACAATGATCAAAGTTTTCTGAAGGAGAGTGATGGCTTGCCTCACAAACCTAATATTCAGAGCAGCCTAGTATTAGCAGAAAACAAATAGACAAAAGGAAAGGCATCTACCAAGAGCTGGCATTTGTATAGAATGTTGATTAATAATAGAGTAGATGGGTCTGGGGGTATAGTTTAGTGGTAGAGCACTTGCCTAGCATGCACAAGGCCCTCAGGTCAATGCCTTGTACCCACCAATGATAATAATAGTAATAATACAGCAGGCACTCTGGAGCTCTGGGAGAGAGCACAAGCACTTTAAAACATGGAGCAAGACAAACTGGTCTCTACTTGAAATATGCATTCCATTCCCTCCTATATTGTGGATACTAATCAATCCATTGTAGATTCAAATATAAAAAATAAATATAGAACACCTTTAGCAGTCACTAGTTTCTTGGATGTAATAGGTAGGATAATTTTCAAATAACATGAAGAATAAGCCATAGAGAAAGGAACTGAGGCTGGGGATGTAGCTCAGTGGTAGATCACTTCTCTAGCATGTGTGAGGCCTTGGGTTCAATCTCCAGTGCTAAGAAAAAAAGAAAATAAAAAATTAAAATATTCTAAAATCAAGACAGTTAAAAGACAAAAACAGGGTGGGGGTTGTGGCTCAGTGGTAGAGCACTTGCCTAGCAAGTGTGAGGCACTGGGTTTGATTCTCAGCACCACATATAAATAGATGAAAATAAAGGTCCGTTAGCAACAACAACAAAAAATATTTTAAAAAAAGACAAAAACAGAATGGAGAAATCTGCAATACATGCAATATAAAAGGATTCACATGCAGAGTAAATATGATGAGCACATGCTTAAAAATGGTAAATAACCAAAACATATTTGACAGAAGATGAAAAACAAGTTATAGAAAAAATCCCATTGTTGTAATGAGGAAATAGCCAAATAAAATGTCAAGTAGATGACTCTGACATTTATTAGAAGGATAAATAGACAATTAGGTAAACCAACTGGTGATCACCTTAGCAAACAAAAAAGTGGATAAATGAAAATGTCCAGTGTCACACTCCACCGCTATTTCCTGTAATGTGATCATTAAAATCATTACACACACACACACACACATACTCATTGACACTTGATTTTCATAGAGGGAATGATTCTCAACCCCATCCCATGTGGCTCAACCCCAAACCAACTCCCAAAGATGAATCCCCATGTAAATTAGCACTCAAATGAGTTGAAAATATAGGCCCACACAAAGACTGGCACCAAGCTGTGGAGAGCAGCATCATGCACTAATTTTGAAAACTTGGAAGTAACCAAGATGAATATTTGTTCACCAAGATAAAAAGAACAAAATACACAAATTCTATTGTACTTCAACACACATACAATGGAATACCTAAAAATACCCTTAAAAAATGAGTTTAAATTAACACCCAAAGAATAAATGTATAGGTTTCAATTTGACAAAAGAAGTACAAAAATTAAAGCCAGGAGCAGTGGTGTATGCCAGTAATTCCAGCAGCTTAGGAGGCTGAAGCAGGAGGATCATGAGTTCAAAGCCAGCCTCAGCAAAAAGGAGGCACTAAGCAACTCAGTGAGATCCTGTCTCTAAATAAAATACAAAATAGGGCTGGGGATGTGGCTCAGTGGTCAAGTGCCTCTGAATTCAATCCCAGTAACCCCCAACTACAACTTAAAAAAAAATATATATATATATATACACACACACACATATACATATATATATATGTGTGTGTGTGTATATATGTATGTGAGTGTATGTGTGTGTGTGTGTGTGTGTATATATATATATATAAATAAATAAAAAGGCAGGGCCAAGACCCAAATGATCTCACTGGTGAATTCTTCCAAATATTTAAGGAAGAAATGACTCCCATTCTCCAAAATTCCTTCCAGAAAATAAAAGCAAACACTTCCTAATTCATGGAATGAGGCCAACATTACCCTATTAACAAAAAGAAATAAGACACTACAAAAAAGGAAAACTACAGAAAGACAGTTGTTAAAATTCTCAATATATGTTAGCAAGTTAATTTTAAAATATATTTGTTAAATTATATATTACAAACAGATGGGGATTATTACAGGTTTGTAGGGATGATTGAGTTCAACAATCAAAAAATTGTGGTACAGCACATGCCTACCATGTGTAAGGACCTACATTCAATCCCTAGCACCCCAAAAGAAAAAACTCAAAAATCCGTAACTATTATATTAACAAGTGAAATAAGAAAAATCATATGATCATATCAATACTTGCAGAAAAACCACACAGCACCCAGCCCTTTGGAGGCTGAGGCAGAAGATCTCAAGTGCAAGTTGAGGCCAACCTCAGCAATGTATCCAGACCCTGTCTCAAAAAAGGCTTAGAGATGGGCTCAGTGGGAGAGTACCCCTGTTTTAATCCCCAATACAGAAAAAGAGCTAGAGATAGAAATAGAGATAGAGAAAAAAAAAGGAACCCTTATTTCAAAAAAGCAGAAGGAAAAGCCATTGAGATTGAGAATAAATAAACATAAATGTCCACAGAAGACAGGACTGGACTTTGGTTGTACAAAATCCCAAGAATCAGTAAAATCTTCAAGAAACTAATAAGCTGGGCTGGGATTGTGGCTCAGATAGAGTGCTTGCCTAGCACATGCGAGGCCCTGGGTTCGATCCTCAGCACCACATAAAAATAAATAAAATAAAGATATTGTTTCTAACCACAACTAAAAAGTAAATATTAAAAAAGAAACTAATAAGCTAATATAGCAAAGTTGTAGAACACAAGATCAATACAGAAAAGTCCCTAATTTTCCTGTATATCAACTATGAACAACTGGATTTGGAATTAAAAATACAACATTATTTGCATAGCATCAAAGATAAAAACAGAGAGAAATACTTATACATGATTGTCACAAATACAACAAAACCGACAAATTTGTAGTGAAAAAATTAAAAAAAAAACTAAATTTGTGGAGTTGATCACGAGTAGGAAGCCTCAATATTTTAAGATGTTCTCCATTTTAATTGCAAAGTCAACATAATCCAAATAAAAATCCTAACAAGTTACCTTATCAGTAACAACAACAACAACAACAACAAACTCTTCTAGCAGGGAGTGACACCCATAATTCCAGCGGCCTGGGAGACTGAGGTAGGTGGATAACAAATAAACATTGATCTCAGAACAGGACAGAAAACTAGAAGGGAAAAAAATAATAATAATAACAGAAATAAGCCCACAAAACTATAATCCATTGTTCTTTGACAAAGGAGCAAAAGAAACTAAATGACTAAAGTATGATCTTTTCAATAAACGTTACCGAACCACCTGGACATGATAGGTGAAGAAATTGACTTGACAACTTTCACAAAACTAAAACTGGGCCACAAACCGAAATGTAAAATGCAAAGTTTAGAACTTCTCGAAGGTAAACAGAAACTAGAAGACTTTGAGTTTGGCAATGAGGTTTCAGATGTGACACCCAAAGCATGATGTGAGAATAAGAAAACGGATAACCTAGACTTCAATGAAATTAAAACATTCTGATCTGCAAAAAGCGCCTCCCCGGTCCTCACTGCGTGGTCCCGGGAGACGCGAGCTGTGGGCACAGCGCTGCGCGACAGGGCCAGGGGCCGGGCCCAAGTCGCCACGCTGGGAACAGAGAGGACGTGGGAGTCCTGACGGACAGCCCAGCCCCACCCTGGGCAGGAGGGGACCGAGGGCCCAGCGGCGCCGGCTGCGGACTCGGCCGCAGAGTGTGGAGCTGACGCCGGAGAGGCCGGTCCTGCCACAGCCGGTTCTTGGTGATTGCGACAAGCCCGTCCTCCCGGATATGGGGACACCTGGCTCCCGTACTCACCATTTTCCGACTTGGGAGGAGTCTCTGGCGTCCTCCCTACAGCTCCTGCGGTCAGTGGAGTTCAGAGCCAACAAAAACTGAGACTGGGTTTGGAGCCTGGCGGGGGAAGAGAAGCTCAGACTCGCCGGCCGCGGCACCACCCCTCCTCCCTGAGCGCGCCTGCTTGGACAGCAAGACCGCCCCGCCCCCGAGAGCCTGATTGGCTAGTGACCCAGTGCCCACCCCCTGAGGCCTGACTGACGGGAAAAGCGATCCCGTAGGAGAGTGAGTGGAGCTGAAATGACCCAGAGCAACCCCAGCCCTTCCCAGCCCCAGTTGCCTCCCCAACTGTGACCTAGCCAGGAGAGGGACATAACTGATTTAAGCGAAACTTGCTCCGGGCTTTCCAGGGCGCACACTGCTGTCCTATACTCGGTGGGCAATTCCCGTTCTTCCCCCTTGGACACAGGCTTACAGGGGGGTGCAGTCAAATTTACACTGAGTATCCAGTAGAGTGATTACTGATAAGTAGCTAGTCAGCCATGAATGGGTGGTGGTTCTGGGGAGGACAAACTGACAGATAGGCACCTGGAAGATGGGGGTCTGGTATGTCAAAACTTCCTCCAGCCATAATTATATCCCCTTAAAAAACAAAAAAACTATTGTTTCAAGACCCTGTCACACAAACCAGGTGGCCTGGATCCTCCCTTATCACCAAAACTATCACAACCTCAGTCACCCAGGCAACCAAAACATCAAGACCCTCACAAAGAAAGCTTGCTGAGGGATATTCTACAAAGAAGTGAGACAGACCCCTGAGCAGACATGGTAGCTGCTATTAATGGTTTTTACAACTTTGACAGGATTAAGGGACTCACTTGACTTTTTATTTAATTTGTCTGAATGATATACAAAATTAGAGGAAATGTTAATGCTACCACAACTTGATTTCATTTATCTTGGTTAGAAGCCAAGCTAAACAGAGTCTGTCCTGTGGGTTGTAACACTCAGGTGGTTGTGAACTTCATACTTAAGAAGTCCACAGCTTGGGCACAAGTCCCTGGTCCTCCAGGGATCAGGCACTGGGGAATGAGGCATGCCAAGGATTGCTCACAACTTCTCTCTCATTCTACACATTTTTCAGTGAAATGCTTCTAGGTATAAAATGAAGCTCTGAGATCATGAGTGTGGTGACCACCAAGTCAGGGATGAGTTGGTCACACAACTTTGACATCTGCTTTGGTACCTGTGAGTAGTGGAGGACAATTTCCCCCAGGAAGGTACAATGGACTTAATGTTTAATCTACAAAATATTGTTTAATCTGACTGTTGGCATTGGGGAGGCAATGGCTGTTGAGAACTGGTTATTGTGTGTTTCAACTTTCTGTGAATAAATGAATAAACAAGTAAAGGTGTAGGGAGATATTAGAGGAGTGGGCTGATGGTTTCCAACGAAGAGGAGGAGGAGAAGAAAAACCTCCTGAAATAATAGTTTAAGAAAGGGATCTCTGAAAAAAAATATATTTGAACTGAGACTCACATGTAGAGAGTTTGGGTGGGAGTATGTGCGTGGACATCAGGATAGAGATAAATTATATTAGTACTCAGTATGGAAATAACCATCAATAACTTAATATTAAGTTTCTGTGATTCTGATGAATATCATAGATGAATAGAGAAAATAGTATATTATTAAGACCTCATTATAATTTTTGTGGGCCAGGCATTAATTACATAACATAGTCCACATCCTCCATTTAAAAAATGTTGAAATTACATTTTTCAATATAATGTTGATGTAAAGATTAATATATAAATTTGATATATGAATGTGTTTTTTTTCCCTAAAGTTCTTTTTTTCTGATTTTAGGAGAAACTAAAACATTTTCCTGAACCTTGAAAGTTTTGTTCCTAGTGGATAAGTCAGTCCAGAGATCAAAAACCTCCTGGAATTACAAGTTTATTTTCAAACACAGAGCTTCCAGTGCCTGGCTGCAAAAAGCCAACTGATGAAGCAGAATAGTCCCCTGAGCTAGTGAGTGTGGAGGGCATAGAGGAAGGGCAGGTTGCCTCTCCACTCCTTCTGTGGACAGGGAATACAGTCTCCCTCTAGCATCCATGGTGCCTAGGGCAACTGGGATACCAGTGGTGACCTTGCCTTCTGCCCTGACAAAGATTTGCTCCTCCTCCCAGGAGCTCTCCCTCAATATCTTTTGGACTCTGTGTTGGTCTCTACATTATCTAATTTCACTCTGAATCCTGCTGAGATATCTTGAAACTTGATCACATGCTATCTGGTCAGTTCCTCATCCTTCTCTGTCCCCAGATGATGTCCAATCACACTGGGTTGCCTCTGGGTAGAATCCTGGTAGGCTGACTTAACCAGAATCCCTCCTCATCCCTGCATTGTCTGTTAGTAATGATCCATCCACTGACCCTAAAACTGCTCTTTGGATATCAACTCTCACTACCCCCATGCAGTACTCAGAATCCAGTCTAATGCCTCTTCCCCAATGCAAAACCCCATTCCAGAGGTCCCTGTACCAATGGTTATGCCCTGATCAGAGCATAATCAGACTCAACCACCCCAAATCCTGCAGACCCAACACCAGTCAAGAAACAACAATCAGCATAGCCATCAGAATTGAAGTGTGCACATAAACACTTTCACTACAACAAGAGTTTTGGAAAATTATGGAAATGAATAAACACAGAAACCTGGGGAAAGAGTCTAAGAATAAAAAAAGACAAGCAAACATCTGGACATGGAAAGGTATATGAGATAGGTCATAACCAGGCCACCCCTGCTCCCAAGGTGGGCAGCTATCACAGGGAACACTTGTGGCTCCAGTATTGGGAAAAGACATAAGCAAACACTGCCTTTGGTGAAACTGCCCAGGAGCAAGAGCAGGAGACACCTGCAAGTATCTTCTGACACTTTACCTCATCCATTCATTAACTAGACCTGTGGCTACAGAATTGGCAGTGGCAATATCTGAAAACAGAGAGTGTGCCTGTGTCTGAGAGAAGCAGGGTCAAATTGAAGGGAATAAAATCCTCACAAATTACTGATCTGTTTCCTGGCCTGGCTTGCAGCTTTCTTCAAGCATGGAGCATCCTAGGCATGAAATAATTATACACAGATTATTTGAAAGAGTTAACTAAATATCTATAGGATGAAGTCCATCTAAGGAAGTGGGGGTTTAAATGGCAGTGACTGTTCTATAGAATTATTAGGAATGCTATGTATAGACCCTGGACTGTGCAGAAGGGACACTTTCCTGCAGCCTCTTACTACTGAACTCTAACCAATGGCTTGGATTTTATTTCTAAGAGACATCACTTGATCCCACGTAGGGCTAGCCCAGTCAGGAGGAGGGACAGAGATAATGGAATAAGGTGAAGAATGATGTCACCCTCAGCTTCCAGCCCTAAAAAGGGGAAGGTACAAAGAAGACAAAGAGATAACTATCTTCCCACTTTCAAAGAGGACAGGAAATCAGGAAGAAATAAAATAAATTGGGGAAAGCTCTGTGCAGGTGAAGGTTAGGAAACAGGATAGGGATACGGTGAGCACTGATGTGTTCATTCCCAGAACCCAGGCATTATCTATCGTGATAAGTAAGCAGAAAATGAATAAGTGATAAAAGAGCATACCCATTTACAGTGAATGAACCCTTGTCAGGCTTTGTAGAAGGCTTACTAATGAGTTTAAAAAATGAATAAAGGGGAAAAAATAACACCAATCACCACATTCTTGTATGCACATTTTTTTTCCTTCAATTGTGAGATGAAGTAGACTCAAAGAAAACTGCAGGAGAAGCAAAGTAATAATCAAAGGGAACATCTCAGAAGTGTCTATAAATCCCTAAGTCTGAGTTAAGATGAAACTTGCAGTGTCATCCAGGTAAACATATATATTGTGTGTATATGTGTGTGTGTTATTGTTGTCAGGGTGGACACTCTAATGTCCCTGACTTCTTTCAGTCAAGCCTCTTCCACTCCCCGGGAAGAATCTGCAACATTTTCTGCCCTGAGGCTTTGGATCTAAGGCCCAGGTGAAAATCACATATTGGAAAGTAGATTTCCTGCATTTAATTTTTACCCCTAGGAACTAGGATTTCCTTAAGTCCACTGATAGCAAGGCCCCAGGAACCATCTCCTTTAGAGCAGACTTTGTCCCAAGCCTGTGTCAATAGGCCACTTGTATGAATGCCACTTTGGATGATGCAAATGGATTGCATCAGAGGATTCAATGTCACAGGGCCCCTGCTCAGCCAAAAACATTTGGGCATTCTGCCCTCCAAAGTTCAAGATAGGCAAGTCCAGCTTCATTTACCTGGGGTTCTAGACAGTCACAGAACTTTCTCTGTGTGGCCCACATGTGTTTGCATACCAATCACATGTGCTGAAACACTCATAGGCACATATGTTCTCCATTATCTAGGGAACCTTAATTACACTGAGCTCAGAAAGTCCAAACCCGTAACTCAAGATCAATGAAGAAATCAAGTTGCATTCTGAGTTATAAAATTTAACCTCCTTTCCCAGTGCTCAATTTTTTAGCCATGCTAATCCCATGGTTTAATATACTGTGAGTATCAGGTCGATGAAGATGACTTAGGAACAAAGCACCAAGCAGCCCACTCGGGAAAGAAACATCAATCAGGCACTAATGGTACTGCCTGTCAATCAGTGGGGTCTCCTGGCCAATTCTGGATCTCAGCCAGTTCCCCCGACCAACTCCAGCTGGACAAAGGATTCTAAAAACCCCTTTTACTGTCCCAAGCCCTTCCCTTCCTGCCCTAAGCCCCATAAAATTCCAGTTCGGTTGAACCCCCATTCGGTTTCTCCTCAGACCCTCTTGCAGTCCGATCTGTGGGTCTGATAAGAGTTCTGCCTGGGAGTGGAATCTCAATAAAGCCTTGTTCAGTGGCCTTTTTAAATTTGCTTCCTTTTGGTTGCCGTCATTGCCTGACTTTATAGTGAGGATCCATTTCTATACCCACAACATTGGGTTCCTCCATTATTATGCATTCATGAGAACATGGGCTATGTGCCAACCGTGACAACATAGAAATATCCTGCCTCAAAATTTAAAAACAATTAAAAGGGCTGGGAAATAATTCAATGGTAGGTTCAATTCCCAGTACCACCAAAAACAATGATAAGTTGGTTG